CCTCGATCTCCGCAATCCCAGTCTTGTTCAGGTCGCCCTTCTCTCGATCATTGATCCCCTTGATTTTTGGTCGATCGTTTATGCCGCCTTTCTCAGAGAACAAATCTTGTTCTCGCGCTTCTCCACATGGCCTTCTAGGTCCTTCGTGGTCGCCAACAGAAACACTCCGCGCTTGTTCATATCACCCTTGAGATGTGTTCCGTCCAGACCGATGACGTGTCGGCAGTGTACTTGAAGGCATGCCCCTGGAAAAACGCAAGCCCTTCTGAACATGTCATTCTCGCGCCTGCCAAACCCGTAGCATGTCTTGGAGTTCGCATCACTCACCATGGCTAGATATCCCTCCAGCTTCTGGTAACTCCCGACGACGTCGTCGCGCAGCGATTCGAGAAGATCCCGCTTGATCTTGGATGCCGCAGTTCGGTTCGTTATCACCCCCTTAGTCATCAAAAAGTCGATGATAGCCCGCCCTGTGCCCGAGGCCCACGTTCCGCTGTAAGAGGGGAGCAACTCACGCTCAACGACGCCCCTCATCACTCGGTAGGGCACATCGCGAAGTCGCTGACGAGAGGTATCTCCTGCGAGACCGCCTTCAACAAAGGTATCGCCCTGAAAACCGCCGTGTCTGAAGTGGTCATGGGCCAGACACATCCTTGTTATCTTCCAGTTGTTGCGGATCCCGTACACCGTAATGAAAAATGGGCAGTTGGCAGTGCTGCCTGGAATGAGCTGCTGCTGCCCTTTCACCGCCTTGCAAGTGTACTTGGCGTTCCTTCTTGACGACGAGAGTGATAGCTGTTGTTGGCCACGCGAATGGAAAAGCCACGGGCTCGAGCAAACTCGCGACAGCGTTGCAGCAGAGCCTTTTTCGACTCAAGCGTCGCAGACGCAACGTTGTTCCCATGGTCGGAAACTACGCCGTAAGAAGAGGGGTCGAGGGGATCCAAGCCGACATCTAGCTCAGGTCGTAGCATGCGCATCTCGATGAGTTCGGCGATGTCCGCTTCTTCGACAGCGGATGAGGTGATCATGGGCGAAGACATTGTCCGGGTGACCGAAACACGAGAGGTGGTAGAGGTGTTGAGGCGTGTAGTTGGGTGGGTATCCGACAAAAAGACGAATGAGCCCTGCAGTGAAAACTCGCGAGCTAAGAGAACACGGGCTAAACGAGGTGGTTATGAAACTCCTACAGAGATGTGTTGCTAAGCTCCGGCCCAAGATACTGAAAAAAAGTATGAACGTCCGTTTCAAAATGTACGACAAGAAGCTCAGAATACCGCGAAGTGAGATGCTCGGAATGCCCGTCCGTTTTAAAACTTACGAGTCGTAAGTTATTGCTGTCGTACGTTACAATAAACGTAAGAGTACTTAACAGAGGCGTGGCCTGCTCAGAATGCCCGTCCGTTTTAAAACTTACGAGTCGTAGGTTGTTGCTTTCAGACTTTTCAACAAACCCAACTGTACTTATCAGACGCGCGGCCGACGAAGTTTTAATACAGAACCAAGTGCGTTAGTTTGGTCTGCGTGCATACAATTCTACGAAGCGATGATGTAAACTTACACATTAGCATTACGACACTCTTACTCTAAAAAGTTAATTTCGTACGATATTACTTGGCCCTGGAAAACAGTTATTTTTGCCCATAAAATTAACGTTCAATTCGGATATGATAAAACGTTATTTTTGACTGTGGCAATCTACTTGCAAATTGATGCATTCACCTACTTAGACTTTTACAAAAAGGCTTCAATCTACTTGAAACTTAATTCCTCGCGCGTATGTCATCTCCTGCATGATTTAGCACATCCAGCATGGATTAGCATCCTTTTGGCACTTTCCGAAAGTGCCATTTCCGAGCCAAGCTGGCTTCGAAACACGACTTCAAAGCCACTATGATTTACCACTAAGTACGAACACTATCTAGTGCACTAATTAGGAGGGAAAACCGGTTGCAAAGCACAATATCATAGAGCACATATATATCATAGAGCACACTTTCGATTATCCAATGAAAGCCATATAATTCACACTTGAAATAAGACATTCAACCTCGGAGCCTGATAGCCGCGCTCGTTGCGTTACGCCATTTTGAATGGCGCGAACAGGTAGAACGCGCTTAAAAAGTGAAGGTGACGCGCGGCCAAAGCAGTACGAGCGCTCGTTGCGATTACTTAAGTACGTACGAGTTCAAGCTGTGTGTGCTTCGATTCCTAGACACTACACCGATGGCAAAAATGGTAGCTAACGGAAAACGCCAATTTGTATACCGCATACTATTGAATTGAACACTTGTCAAATCTAGAAAGATATACAAATAGGAAGGGGGTTATACTACCAAAGTAGCTCCGACGCATTCAAGTCTGAAATATTGTGTGTAGAGCTAGCTACGTTCTGCAAAACCTCTTTGATGGCATCCTGCCAACGTATGTACCAGTCTTCAAACCATGGAGACATCCATAGATTGCGCAGCGTTGGTTCACAACGTCTCTCATGCCGTCAGATGCAAGCAGAACTTAGACCAACAACCAAAACCATTTTTCTTTGGGTACCTTACGGTAATTTTGCGTAAAGTTACACAAAATGCAAACAGTACCGAATACAAGTGTCAGTTTTTAAACTGTGGTCTTTAAAAAGATAAAAATAACCGGATCTTGCTTGCCGTATTTGACAAAGTAATACTTACACGGAAAATAAAGGGTGATTTTCAATTTTAAGACATCTCTTAGCCAATCAAAAGATGTTTACATGCTAAACTTCACATAAATTTCAAGAAAATTATAAGTACTCAACGTTCTATACGGTTTGGTTGAGGTATACAAATTGGCGTAGGTACAATAGCTTTGTATACTGAGCACATTCTATCAGATTTGAGAGGAGGTATTCAATTCGGGAAGGGTACGCTATTTGGCGCTATCCGTTAAGTATTTTCCTGACGGGAAGGTGATTCCCTTCATTTCATTTTCATCCGGGCTTCAGGAACAAACTTTGCCAGGAGGTCTTTCACCGTCTTGGCCGCGATAGTTTCCGCCAGATCGAAGGTCACTCCAGGAATCTCGTACACGTCCATGATCTTCGTGAATATTAACCCTATCGTTAACGCCATTCATTTCTGTTTGAAGGGACACCATACAAACTTTAAGGAAAACGGGGTAAAATGATGCATGAGGTGTATTAGGTTTGCGAGGCCAACTGATCAAAAGTATACGTGATGGGAGGTTTAAAGCGACCTTTCGATCAAAAAGATACGTGAGGCATCATTTTACTGCTTCTCTGTGATTCGCTGCGAATCGACAAAAGTATCAGTGGAAGCAGTACCGTGAGAACAGCACCCTAACAAAACTTTAGTAAGAGCGGTACCGTGGATCACAGCGCCATCTTGTGGATTATGTGGGGCTTTTCCTAGTTGTGAAGCGGCGGCGCCGTGGTCTCCGATGCGACGCTGGCCACTATGGCGGCTGTCCTGGACCTGGCCGGAGCGTCTCCGACGGCGGCGACAAGCACGCGATGACTGCGGGCATCTCGGGCAGCGGGCGAAATGGCTACGGGAGCGCCGTCAGCACCGTCAACAGCATGGTCTCGGAGGCTTCCGCGGCGACCGTGGCCGTGTTGGACGTGATCGGGGGCGTCTCCGCTGGCATGGTCACGAACGCGACGGTGGCATTCGGCTCGGGCAGCGAGCGCAACGACAGCGGCAGTCCGCACGCAGGTTGCCGCCGGTAGTAGCGTCAGCGGCGTCGCCAGCGACATCGACAGCAGGTTTTCAGGCGTGATGGAGGTGACTCTGACCTTGGGGGATGCGGTCAGAGCTACGATGTCCGTGCAAGACGTTGATGTAGATGTGTACAATGGCTGATATATGTTATTGGCTCTACAGGTAATGAACAATGGGATGAACATGTCTGACAAACGAAGTATATTGAATGTCCCTTTCCATTCTGCGCGAGGTACTTAGATGTAGGGCTCTACAACCCTGGTGTACCAGTATGCGTGATGAAGCTGGGAAGACCAAGACACTTGAACGTCGATACGCTGTCGGAGCGTCCAGACAGAGCAGAAGTTGCGCGGGCAGGTTGGGCGGTGCCGGCCGCAAATTGTTGCCATGACAACGACGTGGACCAAACCTGCTGCTGAAGATGCAAAGTCCTCCAGCGCCGCAAAACTTGTAGGCTCGAAAACGATATTGTTCGCAAATAAAACACTGCACCCGTCAATATCCTCGCGTACGGCTGGGCTCATCGCTCTGAGGTCGGCCTCGTGAATCGTGACCTTGGATAAATTCGGGAAATCCACGCGTGCGCCACGAATCAGCAGTTTGGACATGTTTGCCAAGTTGTCCTGGAACTCAATCCCGATGCATCTCCCAACACAAGTCTCCAGTGCCACTTGTGCAACCACGTTGCCGATCCCAGATCCAAAGTCAACAAAAGTGTCGGCGATTGTAAGCGTTGGAATGACTGCCAGTATTGCTGAAACCCCAGTTGGCGAAATCTCACCAGCATGACAATCCGGCGCATGGACGGGTTGACGCAAGGCCGAGGCATACAAACTTGACACAGCGTCATGAACGTTGCCAACATTATCGGGAGCGCTCAACTTGTGGCCACCACTAAGCGCGTCCGTGCCGATTTTTGATCCCGAAATCTCCTTGGGAAAGAATCTAAGCTCACGCCGTGTGTCCTCTTCAGCGTCTTTAGACGAATCTGCAGCTGTCGCTGTGTCTTCCCGCAGTATGGCATCCCCAACCAGACAGCCCGCCAGTTAATTCGGCGGCCTGCATCAACCTGCTCCTTTGCCAGCCGATAACGCAGCAAGTCCTCTTCGTCCGAGAAGTCTGCCATCGGGTTGCCACGATATCTAGAAATCCATAATGCCATACATACCATAAGATATTTGGTCTCATACTTCTTCGCCTGATAACCTACCGACCTTTCACAAAGGTCCCATCCCCATCAATGTACTCAACACCAGGTTCAAGACGCTCCTACCGCCAGCAAGGCAACTAAGCCCGGCTATCGATGCCGCTGCTATAAACGCTCTCGTGGCGCTGCCCAGCCAACACGAAAGCACCCCTATTAGCCTCATCGACCGCGCCGAATGCCACCGTCGCGTTCGTGACCATGCCAGCGGAGACGCCCCCGATCACATCCAACACGGCCACGGTCGCCGCGGAAGCCTCCGAGACCATGCTGTCGACGGCACACACGGCGGCGCTGCGGCCGCCGTTGTGCTTGCTGCACGAGTCGCCCGCCACCATCGCGTCCGCGTCCGTGTCCATGTCGGCGGAGACGCGGCTGACCACGTCCACCAAGGCCACGGTCACCTCAATCGTGTCCGAGACCCTGCTGTCGATGTCGCTGGCGACGCCGCTGACACTACTACCGGCGGCAACCTGCGTGCGGACTGCCGCTGTCGTTGCGCTCAGCGCCCGGGCCGAATGCCACCGTCGCTGCCCGAGCCGAATGCCACCGTCGTGTTCGTGACCATGCCAGCGGAGACGCCCCCGATCACATCCAACACGGCCACGGTCGCCGCGGAAGCCTCCGAGACCATGCTGTTGACGGCACACACGGCGGCGCTGCGGCCACCGTTGTGCTTGCTGCACGAGTCGCCCGCCACCATCGCGTCCGCGTCCGTGTCCATGTCGGCGGAGACGCCGCTGACCACGTCCACCAAGGCCACGGTCACCTCAATCGTGTCCGAGACCCTGCTGTCGATGTCGCTGGCGACGCCGCTGACACTACTACCGGCGGCAACCTGCGTGCGGACTGCCGCTGTCGTGGCGCTCCGTGCCCGAGCCGAATGCCACCGTCGCGTTCGTGACCATGCCAGCGGAGACGCCCCCGATCACGTCCAACACGGCCACGGTCGCCGCGGAAGCCTCCGAGACCATGCTGTTGACGGCACACACGGCGGCGCTGCGGCCGCCGTTGTGCTTGCTGCCCGAGTCGCCCGCCACCATCGCATCCGTGTCGCCGACGGCGGAGACGTTTCCGACCAGGTCCATCAAGACCATGATTGGGGGAATGCCGATGGTAGGGCGTTTCGGCGAGGGAGAACGGGTAGAGCGGTCGCGATACATAATTTCACATAAATAGGCTATTGGTATTTGAAGTGGTTTACACAACATGTAAAGGCTCGCCTTTTTGGTGCCCATTTTGCTTTGGTTCATCTTTTCGAGCTTTCCCGCGCTGACATTTTTTCCCATGTCTTCGCTTTGACCAATCAAAACCTGTCTCCGAAAATTCGATGACAGTGATTGGCTGCCAAAGTTCAACAAGAAGTGTGATTGGCGGAATTAGTTCAAATCGATCCACTGTTGTTTGGTCGGCTTGCTCGGCTTGCTCCGAATCAAAATGACCTTCTCGCATCGGAGTTCTTTTCCGATTTTGCAAGCTCGATCCCAAGTGTCCCTGGCTGACCACTCTCCGTTCTTCCGGTTTCCACGCCTCGGACGACGGTGGTACACATGTGCTGGCCGTACCCATCGTTTACGGCGCGTGGCTGCCCGTGATACTGTGCACGCTGCGGTCAAGTCCAGCCTGCCAGTTCGCCCCTCACTCTCCAAGTCCAGCGTCGTTGGAGTCGCCACACGCTCAGCTCCTGTGTGTCGACGCATCTGCTGCTGCTGACCGCCTGTGCTACTTGACGCGCTGACCTCGGGACGCACCGGGCATGAAGTTGGACTCGCTGTCCGTCGTGTACCCACCCGACGACCACGTCCCGCACAACCGCCGCAACAGCGCATTTGTTGTCGATAACGCAGTGCTACTAGAACTGGCGCTGGGATGGTGTCGTTTGTCCCGTAGTCCCCAACTCTCCTCACGGCATTGCCGCCGGGTGTGGCTGTCAACCACGTTCAGCTGCGAGACGCCAAGATTCCGCTACAGGACCCCGAGATGGAGCGTCGGAGGCGGCACTGACGACTGCCCACTAGACCTGCAGGTGGACGGCGTTCTCCCGCCCTTTTCGCTTCCAGCGATCCTCATCGACGGACAACCGCACGTAGATGCCTCAGGAGGGAGCGGGGTGCCACCGGCGACAAAGATCAAGAGAGGCTACCGCTAGAAATGGAGCGTTCGAGTCCCATCGGGGGTCAAGATGGAGCCTGAAGTCGCCATGACGACGACGTCGCAAGCGCCCAATTTGCCCAGCGACAGGGACACGCAGACGGCATTGGCACAGCGACTCCTTCCCTGAAGCACCTCCGAGGACGCTCTTGCAACACACGTTTGTGCGTGATCGCCCGAAGCCTCGGATACATCTGTCGACGCCGCGGTTTGGGTCGTCATCGGCATTGTTGTCGTTGTCGGCTTCGCAGCATACATCATTCCATGATCCCTATCCAGAGATTTCTTCCAGTCCCCATTGAACAGTTCTCGAACCAGTGATGCCACAAATGCGCGATGACTATCGCGGGCTCTTGACCTCGTTTGGGCTGTACCTCCCGTTGAACGAGACTCCTCGCTCTCACCACGCGCCAAACTATCGCAAATGTAGGCATTGCACCTGGCTATATCAAGCATGACCATCGCTAGTTTTTTATGCCACTTCTGAAATGAGTGGCCATCGGCTAGAGAAAATCGTGCACGCAGTTGGTCGAGCCGATCAACACCTTGCATCGCTGAATTATACTCGCCGACGCAAGTAGGAGCAGTGAAAGCCACACCCGATTCATTTATACGACGATGCACAGTTGATGTGGTCGAAGCATCGGCATTAGACACGACATTGACAATTGAGCCATCCACCCAACTAGCTGCGACAATATGCTTCTCTAAGCATACACCTTGCTTCATGTAGCCTCGCGGCTTCGCGTCCTCCTTACGAATCATCGTAAAATGAGGGAAATGCTTGCTAGATGTGCGTACAGTGCCACGCCCATAGAGACCAATCGATCGTAAAGTCTTCAACAGCAAACAGGAAGTGTAGAAGTTGTCCGTGTTTACAATGCGACTGGATCCTTTCAAAGATGAAGTAACCGCCATGACGTGAGAGCGGATTTCAGACGACTTCGCGGTTAGATCAGCGAATTTCTGCACTTCTGAGCGTGAAATTACACCGTCCAGCCGATCATCAAGTTCACTGGAGCAGTGCAACTTGAAACTCACCGCGTACCACGAGGTAGAACAGCAACACACGTATAACTTGAAATGATGCTTTCCGGTGGGTTTTTGTGGGTTGAAGACTATAATGTGGCGGGCGTACTGGGATCGGCAGGCAATTGTGGCCTCATCAACAGCCACGTTTCGACCGACTTCAACATGGCGCAGGCATCGCGATTTCAGAATGCTCATGAGTGGTCGTATTCTAGCTACAGGACCGCGCTTGATGTCGGAGGTAGACACCTTGGAACGAAAACTCAAATTCTTACGGATGTACAGGAATCTTCGCCATGTCATAATTGACTTCAAACTAGTAGTACGCGCTCCAGGAAAAAATAGTTGCTTCCTCGTCGTCCACCCAGTAATTTCTCATCTCACCCTTGTCGAACAGAGTCATGTACCAGAGGATCCCAAGGAATTTCATCAGTTCCTCTAAACTTACAGGAGTTGCCGATGGGCTGCCAGATGCGTCTGCATACTCGTTGGTAAAGACGACCACTTGGATCCAGAACGACAACGGAATAAACGCGAAGAACGATGAGATTGCGGAATGCCCAAACAACCCATGACTTTTCGGGCGTAGTCTGGTAGTTGAAGACCCATCCGGATGTGTAAATAGCCCTGACGGTTGGCCAAGCGATGCTGTGGGTGAAAATGTCATTGACGCTATCTCTTCGACTTCACCAGGGCACAAAGGGCGCTGCAATTCTTTCCGCCCGCGAAACGCAAACCACTCACGATAACCACGCTCGTCCATCTCCTCAAATTCATCTGTCAGTGCAGGAATGTTTGATAGTTTGGGGACCATGTTGCACAGGGACGTCCAAGACTCTCCAAATTGAAGTTTGTCTTTTTCCATGTTGGCAAACTGGCGGATACCACGGGTGATGATGGCTTCGGAAACGTGGTGAACGTGATCTTTTATTTGAAAAGCAGTACACGTCCATTGAACCTGAAATTTGTCGTGAGGAACGCTAACATTGTCAGCATTTTTTTCGCTTGCCAGGCTGTAGCGAGTCACCACACTAATCAAAAATGCTGCGCCAACGTCGCGTTACAAACTGAGCGGCATCCACTCCTCATCAGCCGGTGAAAATGCTACGCTAGCATCAACAAATTTTTCGGCAGCCGCATGTGCTCGGCGAATCAACTCTTCTTTCATTGCCACAGCCTTGGGTTTACTGGC